TGTCCTACTTGCCTGATATTTTTACGATAATTACCCAGCGGTTTGGGCATCATGTTCCTCTCCATACTCACATTCTGCTGGCCAATGTCTTCATGTTAGCCCCTCCCATGCTGAACCCCACCATTTATGGTGTCAAGACCAGGCAGATTCGAGAGCATGTGGTCAGTACTTTGTTTTCACAGTGGAAACACTGCTGAGGTTGTGTGACTGATCAGGTGGTATGTTAACCAACAGAGGCTCTCACATTTTCTTTGCCTACTTTATAGAGACCTATGTACTAAGGGGTCTGCTAACTGCGAAAAAAGTCGTTTGCCATGACTTTGAAAGATAGATGCCATGTTACCTTGAGAAGGGTAGTATTTAGAAAAGAGTATGAGCTTTTGGATCAGAATCAGATCTGAATCCTGGCTTCACCAAAAATGATGTGTTTGACCTTAGGGAATTAACTTATTCTTCTAGAGATTCTTCTTATCACATGTCTAGGGTTCCAGAAAAATAAGGATATAAAACCAAACTAAATCATATTGAACAATGAGAATTGTTTCTTACAATGAACTTTTTAGGACACTGCAGTGAAAACATCTGGACAGAATATATATTGTTACTCATGTATACACTTGAGAGTAAAAAAACCTCTTATTTTGAATTAGCAATGGAACCAAGGGAACAGAATAAAGGACAGAAATAAACCCATGCATATAAGGTCAACTAATCTTTGACAAGGGTGTCAAAGATTATACAATGAGGGAAGGATAGTCTCTTAAATAAATGATGTTAGATAATCTGGATGTCCTCATGCAAAGTAATGAAATTGGACCCTTAGCTTACACCATATACAAAAATTTACTTGAAATGAATTAAAGACGTAAATGTAAAACCTGAAACCATAAAATTCCTAGAAGAACATAGGCAAAAGGTCCATGACATTGGTCTTGGCCATAATTTTTTTGGTATCACACCAAAATCACAGGCGACAAAAGCAAAATAAACAAGTGAGACTACATCAAACTAAAAAGCTTCTGCACAGAAAAGGATATCACCAACAAAATGAAAAGGTAACATATGGAATGGGAGAAAATACTTGCAAATCATATATCTGGTAAGGGGTTAATATAAAAAATGTATAAGGAACCCATACAACTCAATAGCAAAAAAACAAATAACCTGATTAAAAAATGGGCAAAGGACATGAAGAGACATTTTTCAAAACAGACATACAAATGGCCAACTGGTACATGAAAAGGTTCTCATCATCACTAATTATCTAGGAAATGCAAATCAAAACCACAATGAGATATCACCTCACATCTATTAGAATGTCTATTATCCAAAAGACAAGAGATAACAAGTGCTGGCAAGGATGTGGAGACAGGAATCCTTCTGCACTATCGGTGGGAACGTAAATTGGTGAAGCGACTATGGAAAATAGTCTTGAGTTTCTTCAAAAAGTTAAAAACAGAACTACCATATGATCCAGCAATCTCATTTTTGGGTATATATCTGAAGGAAATGAAATAACTATCTTGAAGTGATTTCTACACCCCCATGTTCATTGCAGCATTATTCACAAAACCCAAGACTTGGAAACAACTTATGTGTTCATTGACAGATGAATGGATAAAGAAAATGTGATATATATAATGGAATGCTATTTAGCCATAAAAAAGAAAGAAATCCTGCCATTTGTGACAACATGGATGAAGCTTGAGGGCATTATGTTAAGTGAAATAAATCAGACACAGAAAGATAAATACTGTATGATCTCACTTGATGTGGAATCTAAAAAAACTGAACTCTTAGAATAGATTGGTGGTTGCCAGAGGTGTGGGGTGGGAGGTGGGGGAAATGTGTGAAGGTGGTCAAAGAGTACAAGCTTCCAGTTATAAGAGGAACAATTTCTGGGCATGTAATGTACAGCATGATGACTATAGTGAATAATACTGTATTTTATATTTGAAAGTTGCTAAGAGAGTGGATCTTAAAATTTCTCACCACACACACAAATATTACTGTGTGAGGTGATGGATGTGTTAACTAACCTTATCGTGGTGATTGTTTTGCAATATATATGTATATCAAATCATTATGTTGTACATCTTAAACTTATAAAATGTTATATGTAAGTTATATCTCAATAAAGCTGGAGGGGAAAAAAAGACAATGTGGTACATATATACAATGGGATATTATATGACCATAAAAAGAAGGAAATCTTGCCTTTTGTGACAACATGGATTAACCTGGGGGATATTATACTAAGTGAAATAAGCCAGACACAGGAAGACAAATATTGTATCATCTCTCTTATATGTGGACTCTAAAGAAGTCGAACTCATAGAAGTAAAATAGAATGGTGGTTGCCAGGGCCACAGCGGTGGGGGAAATAGGGAGATGTTGGTTGAAGGGTACAAACTTTCAGTTATAAGATGAATCAGTTTTGAGGATCTAATGTACAGCATAGTGACTCCAGTTAATACGGAATTGTATACTTGAAATTTGGTAAGAGAGTTGATCTTAAGTGTTCTCGCTACACACACAAAAGGTAACTATGTGAGGTGATGGATGTGTTAATTAGCTTGATTGTGGTAATCATTTCACACAGTATACATGTACATTTAAGAATACACCTTAAATATATACAATTTTTATTTGTCAATTATATCACAATAAAGCTAAAAAATGTTAAAATATAAAAAGGGAGGGGGAGCATAATCTTTATACTTCTTGATTATACCTGTATCATACAGCTGTGATAGAAAAAATATAAAGTATAAGCAGGATCTTGAAAATGCATCACAAAGTAAGCAGTGAATCAATCTAACTTCTTTTTGCCTTAGCTTATCTTTAACATTTTGGTGTATTCATTTCTGCCTCTTCTAATTCAAAAGAAGTTGTGGAATCAAATATCACAAAAGTCAACAGGTCTTTTTTGCATTTTAAAGGATATATTAATCAAAATTGGAATTAGTGCTGGTAGAATCTTCCCTCATTTCTCAGGAGAATTTTTTTTTCCTGGAGGTAGTTTCACCGGGCTAACATCTGTTGCCAATCTTCCTCTATTTTGTATGTGGGTCGCCACAACAGCATGGCTTCTGCTGAGTGGTTAGGTCTGCGCAAGGGAGCCAAACTGGGCTGCCGAAGTGGAGTGCGCTGAACTCAACCAAGGCAACCAGGCCAGCCCTGCTCAGGAAAATCTTTGTGTGACATGCAGTGATGTGCCTAAATCACTTGTTAGTAATTATTGGTAGGGATAAAAGTTGAGATACTATGAAATCTCTACTACTTAATTTCTTTTGGTGGAGTCCAAAGGGATAGTAGTACGTCACCTATGTAATGTACATCTCCAAGTATCAGGGTAGCCCCACATGCCAAGGTATTCAGATTTTGAGAAGTAAGAGTATTTAAGTTTATATCATTATAGTAGTTTCCTCCCATCAGTATATCAATTGAAGGGAACAAACCATCATTTACATTGGTCAACCACAAGGCAGACACACAGAGAAGCAGAAAAATGAATTTATTATTTACCCTTCTTTCTAAAAATATTTCTCCATGATCTTGACATGCAGAATCCAACCCCATTCCCCAGGACATCCCTGTTCATATAGGACTGAGTTCTACTCCATATTCTTCCTCCAGTTTATCACAAAGTCACTGGTGGACTTTGACAACTTATATTGATTTAGCTCTGTAATGTTGTCAGTTTGCTAGAGGATTCTGTTCTTTTTATTCTTCCTTCAAAGTACCCTCTTTCTGTCCAGTGTTAAGAGAGACCATTACTCATCTCTAGACGAACTAGAGACAACTTTTATCAATAAACTCTTTTCAAGGTCACTGAATCTTTGTACAGTATCTAAATTTCTCATGAAATATTTAGTGGATATGCTAAGGGAAACCGAAGATCCTATTTTAGATAAGGAATCAGGGTTCCTGGAAGGATATGGCTCTCTCACAGCCTCCTATTGGCTCAGGTGTAGAGCTTCATTGTTCCAGCCTTAAAAGCTTAAACTCAAAAAGGTGTTTGCTGTCACTAGGTGATGCTATTACCTTACTCCTGGCCTTCATACCAATCAGGTTCAACTGGAGAAGCAGAAGAAGTAGGAGATAAATAGATAAATATTAAGAGATTTATTGCAAGGAATTAGGTTACACAATTGTGGGGGATGGCAAGGCAAATCCTAAATCTGAGGCAGGCCATCAGGAAGGGCAAGCTGGAACTCTTGGGCAGGAGCTGAGGGTGCTATTCATAGGTGGAAGCCTCAGTTCTGCTTTTATGGCCTTTCAGTGGATTGTCCTAGATAAGCTGGGTGGGCCTAATTCAGTCTCCCTTACTTAAAGTCAAATGATTATGGACTTCAATAATGTCTACAAAATACCTTCATGGAAACATCTAGATTAGAGTTTGATTGAAAAACTGGGGGCTTATAGCCTAGCCAGGGTGACACATCAGAAAACCATCACACCATTTAGATTGATATGCTCTTTAACCAACTCCATTATCAACAGGATGTGGTTGGGAGATAATGGTGGCAGTGGGGGAGGCACAGTAGCCTAGATACGTAACATGGTGATCTAAGGCATGCATAATTCACCTTTATTTAAAAAGTATGGCTATTTTTCTATAGGCAGTGTGGAGCCACTTATGATAAGATGTGCATATGCTGGAAAGATACTCCTAGATGTGCACAAGAACTAGAATTGAATGGGAAAGATAGAGGCCCAAGTTCTTTAGGAAGCCCTTTTGCAAACATTGCAAGATATATGATAGAGATCTGACCACAGGCCTAGTGAAGGAGAGGAGAAAACAAACCTTGCTTCAAATAAAGAACGTAGAAAAATGTTTTAGTTGATCTGGATGAGTCTGGGCCAAAGGTAAGTAGTTTGTTTCATGGAGGGAATCATAAAGCCATCTAGGGCAAGAATATTGATGTTGAGGTCATTTGACATAGACTTTCAGTGACCTCCTTGCCAAGTGTGCTTGCTGGTACCCAACACCTCTGGAGAGACAAAGATGGTTCAGAACACATGGGAAAATGAGGCAGTGTCAGTGGCTGACAAGCTGTACCAGCAGAGAGGGTGTCGGTATCCAGAGAGAGCCATCAAAAGTCAGTGGATCCCTACCATCCTATCCTTAGTGGACAGAGGGTCAGAGGGGCCATGTTCTTTTCACTGTCTTTGAAACCAGGATGGAAGGAGGGCCGCAGAGGTCCAGCGAAGGCACATTCAGAGAAGGTGTAGATGAGGGAGCCATGGTCAGTGATGTTATAGAAGGAGACAGTGCTGGCCTCACAGTCCAGGAAGATCCCAACTTGGCATGGAGGCACCTCAAGGTGGAGGGGAGTCTCAGGGCAGGTGCCAGCCATATATTTTTGTTTGTTAAACTGCCAAATTATCCAGAAGCCATTCTTGGGGCGGATACTAAAACACCCCTTCCTCTTCACCGAGTCTCTACAAACCCCCAGGTACCAGGCCTCCTTTCCCGTCACATCTACCTCCCAGTAATGTTTTCCAGAGTTGAAGTGCTGGGCACCCAGGACCATGGGATAAACATCAAATCTCTCCTCATTTTCAGGCACTTTCTGTCGGGTGGTTCCAAGCCTCACTTGTCTCCTGTCTTCTGAAAGGATGAGCCATGGATTGGCTGTCTGTGGATCCAGAGTGATGTGAACTGCAGAGAGAGGACCACAGTCAGGCCGGGACAGTGTGAGGAGTCAGTAACCCTGTGCCTGTGGGGGGATGGGGATGAGGGGTGACCCTGAGCCTCGCTGTGTGAGGAAATGACCCCCCACCCAGCTTCTGCCTTTCCCCTAACCTTTGACGGAACCACTTTCCCTATCTCCATCCCTGCCCCACCTATTCCAACCTGCCATCTCTTCTGGACCCTGGGACATACTCTGCACCCTAGTTATCCCTGTTTGCTCCCCAGCAGGCCTGTGGCACCCCCTGGCACTCGCATTACCTCCATACATCCTCAGCATCCTCTTCAGCCCTGGCACACGGCATACACTCCGCAGGTGTGGGGAGACAATGTTCAGGGTTTTCAGGTTCCAGGACTCACTCCTGGGGGAAAATAGAGTTAGAGACCCCATCCCCAACTCCTACCCCATCCTCTCTGAACCCTAACACTATAGCCTCCCTTGCGGATGACAGATAATTTAATTCAATGCAAATTTACAAAAGCCTCCTATGTTAGGATCCCCGGTGGAGGGAGGCAAAAGGAGGTAGGATTTAGTTCCTATCCAGGCCTTCCTGGCTACATGGGCCTCTGCAGCATGTGGATACTCTATATCTCCTCTCCAAGCCTGAGGTCACCACACAAGCATTTTCTGTTTCATTTTACAGGCAAAGCGTCTGACATAGGCTGAATCACTTCCTTAAGGTAACTCAAGGAGCCTCGCCCATGTCATGAGTCTTACTCAGGACTCTTTCTGGGAGGTTTGTCACTGGTTAAAGTCTTTTTAAAGAAGGAGTCCCAGCAGGCTGTAGACTCAGAACTTCCCAGAATTTGCCTATTTTTCAGAGCTTCACTTTGTGAAGATGTTCCAGTTCAATTACCTTGGGCAACTCACCAACAGAGGTGTTCATCAATTAGCCTTCTGAGACCAGAAAACATTTTATGGAGGATTGGGTCTTTGAGAATAAGGAGAAGTATTGGGAAAACATCAGTGCATGTTTTTCAGACTCAATAACCTTTTTGACAGGCACACATGCTTCCTGTTGCACCTCCTCTAACAAGAAAACCCCTCCTTACCTTTCCAGGACACTGTCCACCTCCTGAGGAGAAAAGAGACAGAGAGTAAGTTCTGGAGTCACTGGTTTACCATTGAGACTTCAGTCCTGTGGGTGATGTGATGCCACCCTGAGGTCTGTAGGACACTGCTCTACCCGCTTCCTCTGGGCCAAGGCCCAAAAGACATTCTGACCAACTTGGAGCAGAAGGAATGTGTGGATGCTTGTGGGGTAACCAGAAACCCAGCATGGGTGTGACTTAAAGCAGGGGAAGGGTGATTAAGTTAAGAACTCTGACTCAGAAAACAAAATAGAAAGACCAGATTGTTGAGGAGAGGTGGGGGAGGAAAGGGGAAAGGGAAAATAGCCCTGCCTGGTGAGGCCCGAGACAGTCACAGGGAAAGAATGGCTAAGTCAGGATGCACAGAAACAGCTCTCTTTCATTTGTGGGCTTGAGTGGTCCGGGGAGGAAAGACTGGTTAGTTGAAGCTCTGTCCTGTGCTGTAGTTGATGTTGCTCCCTCATGTATGTGAAATCAAATAATTTGAGGGTATTCTGCTGCAGGAGTTGGGAGCCCTCACCTGGGAACTGGCAGACTCCTAGGCCCTGTCAAAAGTACCTTAAAAAGCTCGACTCCATGTTGGGCAGAAGCAAGATTTAGTTAATGGGAAGGAGAGAGCCTGTCAAGTCAATCTAGTCAGCTTTGCACAAACCAGAAAGAAATGGCTTCATGACCACATCTGACTGGGAGACAGTGAAAAGGTGTGGGAAATGGAGAACCATAGAACGTTACAGCAGAGGGGACTTGGAGGCCATCTAGTCCATAGTTTCCCCAAGTGAGGCAGACATATCATGGGCAGATGTGAGGTGACTTCAAGTAGAACATACATCAATGAATTTATAAAAATAGTTACGTACTATTTTAATCTTAGCTCTACCTCTTACTATTTGGGTGAACTTGGTCAAGTTACTTAGCTTTAGTCTCTCAAGTCTCAACATCTCTGCTGCTTGGTTTTCTCTCGTATGAATTAGGGACGATAGTGGTACCCACCCACTGCATTTTGACGAGAGATTGAATGCCTGGCATGTAATGTGTGCTATTTAAGCATTTGCAGTTATTATTATTATTGTCATGAAATAAATTAGGAAAAAATGTCACTAACATATCAACACAATTTCTTGGCTACTATTGCTTAGGACAAATTTCCTTTTAAACTAAATTTATTCAGATAAAAGAGGGAGACAATTTAAAGAAAAAGAACACGCTAAAGTCATTTGGGTAGTTCACAAACTAGCAGAAATTGTAAAAATGACACATTTATGTCTAAAGTGTGGGGAACCCTTGTTATTTATCCCATTGTCTCCTCGTTGTTTCACAAATGGAGAAATTAGTTCTAGGAGAGGAAAATGACTTAACCCAGGGTTAAGGAGAGAATTGGTGGCAGGGCTGGGGCTGGGCTACTCTCTCTTAATTTTCAGTTCAGTGTTTTTAGTTACATTATATTCATGAAAACCTTACCATGGCCCAACTCTCACCTAAGAGTCTTCGTGGATTCTCTCATTTAATCCTCACAAAAATCCTTTGAGATATGTAATATTATACTATCCATTTAACATTTGAGAAACCTGATAGAAAGATTAAAGAACTTTCTCAAGGTCACGAACCTGGTATGTGTTGGAGCAGGCACTACCAGGGATGTCCATTTCTTTTAATTAGTGCATGGAATATTCCTTCCTAAATCTGTGCCTTACTGTGCCTTGAATGCAAACCACTCGTGGGTCTGAATTCCAGGTTGTTTTATTTAAGAAAATTCAGACGGGGTTTCTGTTTGCTCTGATGGTAGCCCCAGAGAGCTCTGGCTTTTTTCAGTTACTCCTTGAATCTCAGAAGGAGGCCTGTCCCCAGGTCTCACCTGTAGCAGCTCCAGCGCTGAGCCCTGAGTCGTCCTCTCCAGCTCTGAGATCAGCTCCTGCAGGGCCTGGCTCTGCTGGGTCAGCTCGGCCTCCGTCTCCTCCAGGATTTTCAGCTGTTTCCCCTCTTCATTCTCCAGCTCCTGCAGTTGCCTGTGTTCCTCTTCAACCAGGAAGATTTTCTGCTGCATAAACTCCGCTCGAATCCGCAATTTGTGTGTCTCAACCTTCCTCTTTGTTGTCAATGGAAAGAGAGACATGGTTTTTATCAAAATCTGCCAAGCTCAGGAATGCAGGTGTCCACACCTATTTCTATTCCCTGTAGACTCACCACTCTTGCTGTCTCTGGAATAAACACACACAGAGACACACATACACACAATTTGCTGGGGAGGTAGGTGGGTGAGACTTCTGGGACTAAGAGGGGAATGGGATTGGTGGGGGGCACACTGTAGCTGCCCTACAACCACAGCTGCATCAGCCTATGGTATCAGAGACCTTCCTCAACCTCTTTCAAAAGCCAGTATCTACCCAGATGTGCTCCACTGTCTTCATCTCAGTGAGTTACTGAGAGAGTAACACCTGTTCCCACCCCCAACCACCTCACAAAGACAGGCTCACAAATCTGTTCCTAAGTCCTGAGGAAAGGAGTCTGGGGATATTCTTTCCTTGCCCTCTCCTGCTAGTGAGTTGGGGGTCGCCCAATGATGCAGGATGACCCCTTTGGCTGCCACAGCCTGACTCACCCTTCTCCAGTCACAAATGTTCGTCTTATGGGATCTACTGGCCATGCACTCCTTCCACTCCTCTCCAATCCCTGACCTCCCCCACCTCCAAATCACCAGTGAGGAACAAGCGTTAGTTCTGCATTCTACTTTGGACCAGTGATCTGGACACAATCAGGTAACCACCTGGAGACTGGTTTTCCTACCTCAGGCCTTGGTGGTTCCCTTAAGTCTGTTGCTCACAGCCGTTGTCATTTCCCATCAGGCCTAGCCATTGGACATCTCTCCTGGGATACCTCTGTCCTAGAAGCAAGGCACTGGTGCTGTCATCCCCTAATACTGGGCTTAAGGAGCGGGAGCTTTAGTGTGTGGCTTCTCCCACAGCACCTTCTCCTAAGACTCTCCATCTCTGAGTCTGATTGGGAGCTCTCTTTGAGCTACAAACTTTTCATTCCCTCTATCAGAAGACAAGGATGGCTGGTTCTTGCAGAGTGAGATATTCCGACTCTATCACTCCTCAGACAGGCAGAGCTATACTTAGGGCTTTCTTGAGTCCAGGACCCTGGTCCCTCCCCAGGCTTCTGATCTAGGATTCCCTTTGGGATGTGATCCTTGCCTTCCAGTCTTCTCTCTTCATTGTAACATCCACTTCCAACTTCTCAGCCACCTCCTGATCTTTTCTCAATTTCCCTAATGCCAGCTGGAGCTTCTCCTGCAGAGAAAGATAGCACGTTAACGCCACCCAGACCAAGAAGTAGGGCAGGCAGACGTGAGGTGGGGGAAGATCATACTGGTTCTTAGAAAAGCCTGAGTGCGGAGAAGCAGGGAGGACAAGAACCTGATTGAGGCAGGCATTCTGTGGATGGGAAGATTTTGGATAAAGCCTGATGTTTCTTACAAAATAGAGCCACACTGGTGAGGTGGCAGAGGTGAGGGTACTACCCATTCCTAATTAACCAGGAGGCCACAAGGAAACATGATCCTTGCATCATTTTCCCAGAGCACGTCCCCTGTTCCTGGAGACAGAGAAGGTTGTGCTGAGCTTGCACTTCTCCCCTTAAATTAGACATGGAAGCGGGAGGCACCCTTCCTTTCTCCAACCCCACAACTCCACAGGTGACTCTCTCCCATCCGCAGCTCTGGGGAACAAAGCACTTATCAGGGCCCCATCTCCTTTCTACCTGTTCATGCCGCCATATTAAGGGCTCACCTGGTACCCCTGAGCAGCCTCCTCAATAGGGACCATGGGGTGGTCACGGTGTTTCCGGGACTGGGAACACACCAAGCAAAGGGCCTTCTGATCCTCCTCACAGTACAGATGAAGTTTCTTTCCATGTACCCCACACCGCTCCTCCTGTTTGCCCTTCTTGGCACACTGGCTGATTTGTCTAAGGTGGTCCACCATGTTGGCTAGCTGCTGATTGGGCCGGAGGTTGCTGAGCATGAAGTTGTGCTGACACAGAGGACAGATGGTATCCCCATCCTTCCCAACCTCAGAGATGCATTCTTTGCAGAAGCTGTGGCCACATTCAATGCTCACAGGCTCCACTATGGGATCCAGGCAGACAGGGCACGTCACCTCCTCCCACATCTTTGCCAAGGACATTGCTGAGGCCATAGCGGTGATGTTCCTATTAAAGCAGCACTGTGGAAATCATACGGTGGCCTATTGGGGAGAGGAAAAATGGAAAAGAGAAGACAAGAAGGGTTGTGTGAGAAAAACAAAACAATTCAAAGGAAAGCGTGAGGGTGAGTGAACTGGAGGGGCTGAAAACAGTCCTCCATTTTGCTGTGAAGTTAATCACAACAATAGCGACCGTTTATTATGCACCTTCTATGTGCCAGAGAAGGTGCTACATGCTTTGCATACATCTTCCTTAATCTTTGCCACAATTACAGGTGTTGTATATGTTACATGAATATATGCAGAAGAACATTTATATTTTATATATTCTTATAAGTATACGTTGTGTGTCGCTTATTCTGGGGATACAGTCTAAGTAATGTGTTCTTAGGCTATTTCTTTCCTGTGTGATTTTAGGTTTGCTTACACAAACCTGGATGGGATAGCCTACTACACACCTAGGCTATATGGTACTAATCTTATGGGACTACTGTCTTATATTTGGTCCATCATTGAGCAAAACGTTGTTATGGTGCACATGACTGTATATGTGTATAGCTGTACGTGTATCTGTGTATATGTAGGTGTGTGTGTATATGTATGTGCATGTATATATACATATTTGTATATGTATATATACACACAGGAACATGTGGTAGAGCACTCCCTGGGCTCTTCTCTCAGCTACTCCCAACCTGGTACCTGTCTTCATTTCCTCCAGGGCAGAGACCCATACATTTCCAACATCTTAGACAACACTGCCTCTCTCACCTCCAGAGGGGAACTTTTGGGGATGAGAGTCTCAAGGACTGCAGACCTACCCCACACTGTGCTCCCCTGGACCACACTCTGAGCTAGGTCGCAGTCCTGGTTCTCTCAGCTTCACCGGGACCCTCTTCCCAGCTCACGTGCCAGCAGCAGGGAAGCCCTAGCTCTTCCCAGGTGACCTTGGAAGTCCCCTTCACAGCCCAGCCTCCTCCCAGGCAGACCCGCCAGTGCAGGAAGAACTGCTGGGCTTGGAGTGAGCGAGCCCTGCTGTGGAGAAGGGAAAACTGAGACTGAAGGCTCTAGGGGTGGGACTGGTTGGAAGGGGCTCTTCAGATCTAGGGCAGGGGAGAAAGGTGCCCCAGGGAGGGCTGGGGGAGCTCGGTCTAGCCAGGTTCACTTACCTTTTCAGGGGACTCAGTAGCTGGCAGCCATCTCTCTATTGCACTTTCGATTTCCTGTCTGAGGCAAGTCTGAAAGGAAGGGGGCTGAGGGGGGGTAGAGTAGGAGGAGCAATGGGAGGAAGAAAAACTGAAGGCGGCAGGGGAGAGAGGGGAGAAGTGGGGGGGGACAAGGAGGAGTTGAGGGGCAGCAGGAGTCAGAAGCTTCTGATGCCCCAGGCTAGGGTTTCCTGGAGGCTGGGACTGAGTGACAGCTCTGCAGCATTTTGTCCCTGCTTTGCGCTCCCTCCCCGTGTCCTCATTATCTAATACAATAAAATATCGTATCTACTAGATGGAGCAGTCATGCTCTTTGACGCTCGTCCTCACCCCACACCTACATGCTGTGCCCGCCTGTGGGAGCTGCTCTTAAGGAGGTTTGGGTGGAGGAAAAGGTGCCTGGAGTTCTCCCTCACATGCCACCATCTGCTTCCTACTTCCACAAACAGCTCCTTTTCAGCAGACTTGATTTTCTTTTAACATGAGGGAGTGAGAGATTTATTCCGCATGACCCCAAGGCAGGTATCACACCAGTGAGCTGGTAAGAAGGGAAGTGACATTTATTGAGTACCAACAGTGCGCTTGTCACTGAGGTAGGCATTTTCTCAGGTTGCATTTTGTTATTATTATTATTTTTATTTTTAAAGTGGTTGGAAAATACACATAACATAAAGTTTACCAGCTGAGCCATTTTGAAGTGTATCGTTCAGTGGCATTAAATACATTCACATTGTTGTGCGACCATCACCACCATCCGTTCACAGAACTTTTCATCTTGCCAACTGAAACTCTGTTATCCATTAAACAATGACTCCCTATTCCTCCCACCCCTTCGCCCCTGGCACCACCACTCTATTTTCTGTCTCTGTGAATTTGACTACTCTAGGTGCCTCATATAAGTGGAATCATACAGTATTTATTCTTTTGTGACTGGCTTATTTCACTTAACATAACATCCTCAAGGTTCATCAATGTTGTAGCATGTGACAGGATTTCCTTCCATTCTGAGGATGAATAGTATTCCATTGTATGTATGTATATTTTTTTTATTCATTCATCTGCCGATGGACCCTCGGGTGGCTTCCACCTTTTGGTCCTTGTGAATAATGCTGCCATGTCAAATTATATTTTTATTTATTTATTTATTTTTTTGGTGACGAAGATTGGCCCTAAGCTAACATCTGTGCCCATCTTCCTCTATTTTGCATATGGGACACCCATACAGCATGGCTTGATGAGTGATGCATAGGTCTGCACCCAGGATCCGATCCAGTGAGCCCCAAGGAGGAAGTGGAGCACGTGAACTTAACCACTAAGCCACTGGGCTGGCCCGTCAAGTTATAATATTTAAGCCACACAACAATTTAGCAATTTAGGGCTTGTTAAATTCATATATAGGACAGGACACTGAGGCTGAAGGGAGTGAAGTGACTTGCTTGAAGTGACATAGTAAGCACAGGTGCATGAGAGGTCCAGGGAAGACCCTCATTTTAGCAACAGCCCAGAGATAACAGGCTGCCCTGTCAGTTCAACAGAGGCTGTAGGGACAGCTGGTAGGGATGTGGTCACAAGCTGTAGAGGAGGAAAGAAAACAGAGGAAGGCTGAGAAGGCTAGAAGAATTCTCAATTCCTTCCTCTCTTTTTTTTTTTTGTCCCTGTATAGCTTAAAGTAAAAACATCAGTTGAACTTTGCTTTTTCTATAGATTTTGGAAACCTAAAAACACTTCATGTTTCTTTGACATCTCCAGTTCTATTTTTAAGAGAATTTGCTTAGTGAGAGGCTATCAGGTGACATCTCATGTCCAAATGGTGCCAGTGTACTCAGATTTGTTTCCGGGAACATAGTCCCAGAAAGCAAAGTTGAAATAGAATCAGAGGAGGAAGAGACTTGTATGTGAATTTGCAAACATTCTGAAAATGACTCTTCACATCACTGCAGACCCTGTGTTGTTTCCTGAGGGCATGGAGTAAGCCACTGTTGAGGGGGTAGAAAAGAGCATGGGTCTCATAATGGAGCAGACATGGATTCGATGCTAACCTTGCTATTTACTAGCTAAGTGCCAGCTCTCTGAGCTCCAATTTACTCACCAGTAAACTAGTTACCAATTTAACACCAGTGAATTCCAGAGGACAATCTCATTATGAGAATTCTTTGATTGTAAAATCAGTTCCTTGGTTGCAACTGATGTTGTTGGGATCCCTTATGGTGTAAGTTTAAAAATAGTCATGCTGGCAGAAGCAGTGTAGGAGGGAAAACAAATCTGTCTCTGGAATATCAGCTATTTTGTGAAGACAAATTTCTGTTGGTTCAATGTACCTAACATGCCACGCTAGCAGACTGTCTCGACTTTCCTAGAAATAGTGAACAATCAGGTTCAGAGTTGGCCTTTATGTATAAGTGTCCATAGCAGTAGGGATAGAGGCTCTGCCTGAGCATAGATTTCCCCTCGCTAAGGCTTATCTCTTTACCACTATCGATATGGACATTAGTAAATGAGCCGATTGAACTAGCAACAGGGGACTAGGGGAGAGGCTGATCACCATCCACAGGATGGGTCATCTTATCTACCTGATTATTAAGCACCTTCTCTGAGTGTATGTCCTCTGGGGGGTATTCATATGGGACAAAAACATTTTCACACCTGGACTCTTCTAGAAGTTCACTGCATACTTCTACCCATAACTCTTACTTATTTTCTTTCGGTCTTGTTTATTTTCAGCCTCTGACCCATAGGCCTACCTGTTAGACACAGTCAAGATCATATATACATAATATACATCAATTCATCTTTCAAACAAAGTGGACAATTGCTTGCTTCAAGTTCTGTCCTTTGGGAAGATTTTCATTCACTCTTGTCTATTGGGGTATATGTTTTGGACACTAATCTTGTGCACCATCTAAGCTTCTCTTGAATCCCTTTATTCTCTTAGTTGTCACCCTATGAGTGCTGGGTCACCACTCCATACACATACTTTCGGATTTGCATGAAACATCGCACTGCAGGATATGGAATCCAAGTGTCTTAGCAGCCATTACAGACAAATGACATAAGCAAAAATTGCAAGGAGTTATTCCCCATAAGGGGAACTTTGACCAGTGAGAAATGGGAGAGAGTGGGACAAATTAACTCCCTTCCTTTCTCTCCTGTGGACCACTTCAAGTTGAGGTTCCTCCTTGCATTTCTTCTGATGAGCAAACTCATTGGCTGAGGGATCTGCTGTGTCTTTTTGAAATTCATTATGAATCATTATCCAGTGTGAGAATGCATTGCATTGTGTTGCATTGTTCCTTACCTCACTTCTCTTTCCCCTAGTCCTGATTGACTCACTTCTCTTTTTTCTTACTCCCATTGCCAACTGAATACAGGTCACTAAATTACTCTTACCTCAGGCTCATCTAGAGGACCTGGTCAATCTTCCTCCAATATTTGCAATGCCTAAACCCAATTAGAAATCAGATCACAAGGGAGTCTGGGAAACCTAACATTCAGGATTAACCTCTTGCAATGAAGAGGTGCAAGGAATATATTTGAGAGCAAACATGCAAATGACTGGTTTGGTCTTTTATATATATAATCTCATTTACACCTCTCCAGATAGTCTTATCATCTCAATTTTATAGAGTGGATACTGATGCATTTAGAGTCTATGTACCTGGCACAGGGTTTAATAATAATAAATATATTATTATATTATATATAAATAAATATATAATAATAAGGAGTTTAAGCTCTGATTCCATATACAATGATCTTAACCGTAATCCTGGCAAGACTTATTTCTATATA